TCCCAAGGCAGCACTGAGCTCATCACTGTGCACGGCACTGCAAAGGGGTGAGGAGGCAACAGGGACTGCAGGGAAAGGGCATGCAGGGCACAGCATGGGGGGGCTCAGGGGGGACGGGGTCACCTCCCCTCCTGCCTGCACAAAGCAAACCCCAGCTGCTAACCATGCGGAGTGAGAGCTGTGTGCTGAGATCTGGGGATGTTTAAAATATCTCCTCAAACATCTTGCTGAGCGAAGGCAAGGCAAAGCAGAGTCCACCTCATACACCAACCTTCAAGGTAAAATTAATTATTAAATGGTAAAGCCAGGATGCGGAATGATTGCTATCAATATTTTAATACTTTCACTGCTAATTTCATTCTCCCTTCATAATCTGCTTTCTGAAAAGGCAACAGAGCAACCGGAGCATTGGCAACGAGCGCCCAGCCTCCGTGGGGTCAGTGTCTGCAGCAGAGCACAGAAGTTTTGTTACATACATTAACTACATTGCATATTTTATACGCCCGCACCCTGCAGACACTCAGGGTCCAGCAGGGGGGTTCTGAGCACTGGCGGAGCTGTGGGTGTCCCTGTTCACTGCCACGAGTGGGGCCAGGTGGCCTTTAGAGGTCTCTTCCAATGCAAACCATTCCGTGCTTCTATAATTCTCTTCGCTCGGTGCAGCCTGAGCAAGCCAAAAGGTTGGGCACCCATAAACTCTGAGGCTGAAAAGCGCCTGCATTTGGGGTTCGGCTTCCAGCAACACGGCAGGCAACGTCACCCCCCCGAGGCAGCACGAAGCACAGCAGGGGCTCTGCTTTGCATCAACGCCAAAACTTGGACGCGCACCTCCCTGAGCATCCGCACAGCCAAGCACAGATGCACACCTGGGAGCAGCTGAGCGCTGCGGGGCCGAACCCACACGGAGCGGGCACCGGGCATCCCCACTGCCAGGCAAGGAGTAGCGCTGCCACTGTATTTACTCATTATTAGTCTAATGAGGCTGTTTCCCGGGAGTTTAATTACCATAATAGAGACAATTCCTTTCTTAACCCTCTTTACAGCTTGGAACAGAAAAAGCCCGTGAAAGGGCAGTGAGGAAGACGAGCGCCGGCCGGGAGGTGTCATGTTGGAAGCTGCTGGAGCAGAAAGGCAGCGGGGCCGCGGCACGGGCTGCCAGCCCTGCGCCACCGCCCGGGGCAGTGCGGGACGGGCTGCGGGGCGGGACGGGCTGCGGGAGCGCGGGGCATTCGCGGCCCTTTGAAACCCAACTCCTCGTCATTTTCCATTTACTGTTTACTAATGGAACCAGATATGGCAACGGTTTTCATTCTTTTTTACTTCTCCTCCCCCCCCCCCCCCCACGCCGATTGTGCATTTTTTTAGACTTAAGTCAACATATTTTCCATTCCATATGCAGCAAGAAATCAGAAAATTAAATGCTTTTCTTTTTTTCCTGGTATTGCTAAGAAATGTTTCCACAGTGTTGCCACAACACACGCAGAGATTCACTGTGCAGCTTTACGGGTCTGCTGCCCCACAAAGACAAACCAGATGGCATTAAGGCAGCTCTGCTCGGCAGTGCCAGCCCGCACCAACATCTCGCAGCAGGGCAGCTCCCCCTTGCAGGCAGGGATCCCTGCACTACAGGGCAGACAGCAACACAAGCCTCCCTCGCACGTGGATGAAAACATAAACAAAAGTCGCTCTTCAAAACAGCGTTCTGGGATAGTGACAGATTTCTGAGGGCAGTGCCGGGTTGGCTGTGTGATCCCAGCAGGGCTGTGGGTCCAGACCCAGAGATCTACTGTGTAGCATTGCGGAAATGAGAATCGTTAAAAGGTGGAGGCAAAGGGACAGCAAGGATGAAAAGCAGCAGATCTAAAAGGAGAAAAGAGGCAGTCAATGGAGGAAACAGCACAGAGCTGGACCGAGCAAACCAGAAGTCTCTCTTAGCCTGCTTCATTCATCCTTAGGTTCCACAGACAACATACTACGAAACCAATTTCTACAAAGGGGACCTATAGGAAAGCGCAGAACGGCCTTGAGCCGGGGCCCAGGTTCCAAAACAACACAAGTCCGTGCCTGGTTGTCCTCTAATCCACCACCTCACGACCAACCCTCATCCCAGCGCCAATACCTGCGCACTGCCCGGCCCCGAGCCGGAGACGTCCCAGTGCCGCCGGCGACACTCGGGCACACGGTGGCGCGCCAAGGGAAGCGCGGGGCTCTGCGGTGCCCCACGGTGCGGAACGAACTCAACACCTCCCCTGCAGGGCTCGGCACCCGGCAGCCCGAGGACTGCGCCGGCTGAGCACGTGCCGACAGAACTCCCGCAGCCCTCAGCAAACCCAACCATAAAATAAACGCGCCGGTAACACGCAGCACGCCTGGCTCCACGTGCGCTCTCCTCCCTCGGTAACGGCTCCCGAGCGCACAGACCGGACTGCCCCGAGCGGAGCGCTCCGCGACCCCGCACCGCCCGCACAGCGCCAGGGGGCAGCCGCGTCCCGCAGCGAGGGGCGGAGCGGGGCGGCACGGAGCCGCAAAGCGGGGCTGCCCGCATCGCTGCCCGCATCGCTGCCCGCATCGCTGCCCGCATCGCTGCCCGCATCGCTGCCCGCATCGCTGCCCGCATCGCTGCCCGCGGGCGCTTGTAGCTGGGGCTCGCGAGTGTTTATCGATTGCCTTGGCGGGGAAACGTTGTTTGGTTTGGGGCTCGGTTGGGCTTTTTTCACTTTTTCATTCAGCCGCAGAGCTGCATAAGAAAGATGCGTTCAGTCCATATGTAACGCTTCAGAAAATGAAAGGCGGCACAAACGGGGCAGGTGTCAGCAGAGGGAAGGTCTGACGCTCTCCCCTGTAAATTTTACCTACTTCTCTCGCACCATCAATATTAGGAAGAAAGTTAAAGAACTTTTTAAAGCCCAGCCTCCCCCAGACCCTCGCATGGCGCCCAGCAGCAATGCCACATTCCCACAGAGCGGCGGCCCTCGGTCAGGGGACGCTCCTTTGCCACCAAGCGGACACAGCAGCGGTCACAAAGCAACATCTAGAAAGTCACAGCCCAAGCGCAGCCTCGAGCTGAACAGCACGCTGCGTGCCGAGCTTTCTAAAGCTATCTCCGAGTAAACAACCTAAAACTGGCCTCCAAGCTGCCGTGTGCCTGCTTGGCTCCACGGGCACTCTGCCTTCATCCCAGTTCCTCATCCCCTGCCCTCACCACGGGCACGGCCCTGCTGGTCCCTGCACGCTCTTTGCCCTTCTCCTGCCCTCTGCGGGGCCACCAAACCCACCCCCACTGCCTCAGGGCAGTGCCACCACATCGCACAGAGGGGGAAAGGGGAATCGATCATTGAGTCCGATTTTAAAAAGGGGAAAAAACACACAAAAACAAGAAGGAGGAAACTGACAAAGAGACTCAATCAAACCAGAAGCGGCAAAGGAGGGAAAACAGGCGGAAGACAGCAGTTGTTTCCTGAACCCTGGCTAAGCAGGGGGATCAAAATGGGGGAGGCACCAAGAGAGGAGCAGGGATGAAAGGGAGCGGCGGTGAGAAACAGAAGGGTACGTGAGTCTGAAAACAGCGAGAAAGAACAAGGAGAGAAGGGGAGAGTGGAAACCTCTGATATCAGCAGGAAATGTTGTGATTCTGAAGATGAAACAACTCGCAGGGAAAGAAATTGGGAAAAAATCCCCGTGTGTGTTGCACACAGTGAACCCGAGCAGCGGCGGCCGGACGGCACGGATGGCACAGTGCCCTGTGAAGGATTCGCTGCGGGAAATGACAGCCCTTCATCGCACCACACTGTTCAAAGACTGCTCCTGCTCCAGCTGCAGACGTGGCTTAAAAACCCGAGGCGGAGGCCCACTCCCCCACGAGCAGACGATATATTCTGTGGCCACAATATTATTGCCATAAAGGGAATAGGAGAGATGGGGCACGAGGGATACTTAAAACTTCCAAACTCATTTGAGACAAATAACTGGGGACACGCTAGGAGTTGAAGAAAAGAAACACGACGGCCTTCTTACTTATCTCTGCAACGATGACAGCAGTGTTTATCGCGCGCGTTTCCACTGTCCCCTGGCAGGCTGTGGGCTGCATTCCTTTGGCCCGCCGCCAGCGCATTAGGAAGAAACGCCGGGGAGAGGGAAGGAATACATTTACCAGAAAAAAGCTGCATTCCTTCCAACCTTTCTGCAGCTTCTTAAAAAAATACAAAAAGCCTCCTTCAAACTGCTCAGTGCCATACCAATTTCCTGTGTAGACCTGAATATTAGCGTATGTTTTTCTGTGTCTCCTAAGTTTCCCAAGTTACCTAATGCGCGCTCAGCATGGAGCATTTTTAAATGAGTTAGTCTTTATTGAATTATGATTTCCAGCAGTCACTAATAACAAAATTCAAATTGCTCCAGCAGACGAGGATTTTGAGAATGCTGAGAAGAAACTGAGTTTTTAAGAGAATCTCGAAGAGCCACCCACTGCTTGTGTATAGTAACCGTGAGCCTCTTGATGGAATACTTCAAATAGTTAATTAGATTTACTCAAAAAAAGAAAAAAAAAGAAGAAAAAACCCTCAGTCATTAAGAGTTACCACTCTGGGAGACACTTGATAAAGGATTGTTATTGCTGTACCTACGGCTTAGTCAAAAGTGAAGCTAAAAAAAAAAAAACTTCTTTTTTTTTTTAAATGTAGTTTCAGGTTTTCCTCACACTGGCCCTGCAGTCGGTGTGATGCAATTAGCAACACATCCAAAGGGGAAAAGGGAACTTTTATTCCATTAGGACTTTTTTTTCTTTTTTTTTTTTTTAACCTCAGGAATTCCTCCAGGCTGCTAAAAAGGTGTTTTTTCAAGCAAGGAATAATAGGGACACTTAGAGACCATGTGCAGTCACCATCCGCGAGGCTGAGAACCACAGATCACCTGCAAACTGAATTTGTTCTATTTTGTTAACCATTTATTTTGTCTTTACTGGCTGTTCAAAGGGAAGTGCGATAATCCCACTGTTCCTCACTTGCTCAGCAGGGAGTTTAATCTAATAAAGCTATTACAGCAGAATGGATTAAAGCAACGTGAAGCATTAGTAATTTGAGGAGCAGTTAAAGAATGTTAACGCTGAGACACTGCGCGTATTCTCCTAAAAACATTATCGCAGAGATGAAAGCAGGGCTTCTACTCAACGTGTCATTTTTCAGGCTCAGAATTTAATTCTTTCAGTCTCCTCAACCAGATGTTTATAGTGCAGAGCAAGATGCTGCCCATTACTTCAGAACTGCTGAAACCACAGGCCGACCGGAGCGGGCAGGCGTCACCTTAGCCCAACTTTTGATTAATCCCTCTATTATAACAATGTCTTTGTTAGAAGGAAACACGTGTGACCAGACCGTCCGACGGGGCAGGCAGAGCCCCGTGCTGGGCTGGGCCGGCTGTGGCACGGACCTGACAGGCAGCAGCCAGCCCACAGCAGGTGCCAGGACTGATGATCTTTAAGGTCCCTTCCAGCCAAAGCCCTTCTATGATTCTGTGATCTGCTGCTCTATCACAGCAGATCTGTATTCCTGATCTGTATCTATATTCCTGACCAGCACGGCCAGAGGATGTCAGTCCCAGGGGTCCGTGTGGGATTGCCCCAGAGGCCAGGACACAGGGCAGCCTGAAGCAATGGAATCCCCAGCATAGTCACCAGCACTGCATCAACCAGCACTCATTCAGCACTCACAGTTCCCCTTCGGATTTTCTTCACCAGACTTCCTGTAAAATAAATATTTAACCCAGCTACATGGCAGCACAAGTAACGGCACTGGCAGCGGGATTTTTTTCTAGGAACTTTTGGGGAAACACAAGAACTGGACCTGAAGCAAGAAAACAGCTGGCAGCTTAAATACAGAAGAAAGAAAAAAAAAAAAAATCTATTGCCTGTCCATAATGTGAGTTCCTCCACTTAATTTGGTCACTGGTTAATTTGTTTCTTTGTTTAATATGATAGAAACCCCAGGGATCAAATCATTTACATTGAAATTATATTAGTACTTTATTTTCGTCATTTCTGATTGCTCTGAGCAAGCACTACAGGATAGTTTGATCACTGGATACAGAAAGTTACCATTTAATTAATATGAAAGGTGCCTAAATTTTGAATAATATTGAAGAAAAAAGCCTTAGGATGTGGCAGGAGACTCACATATATTATTAACTCCTACTGCTGCATTGACTGTCAGCTTTTAGGGGACACTTTGAGACGTCAGCTTCAATCTGCAAAGCCTTACATTGTTCAGAACACTGGTCAGAAACGCCCACTTCTCACCAGGCACAGCCACGATGGAGATGCTCTGTGTGTCACCAGGGATGCTGTGTGACAGGGCTGCCAGAGGCTTTGTGCCCACTGGGATGGCACCACTCTTCGCAGGCATGGTCTTGGCTTCAAGGGCCAGTCATCAATGTCAATTAAACAGTAAGTTTAAATCAGATCATTCCATGAAGGTGTATTGATAGTCCGAGAATCATAGAATCATTCAGCTTGGAGAAGACCTCTACAACCTCTAAGTCCCACCCAAAACCATCCCACCATGCCCACAGCCACGTCCCTCAGTGTCACAGCCCTGCAGTTCTGGGACACCCCCAGGGACGGTGACCCCACCACCACCACACAGCCTGTGCCGCTGCCTGACCGCTCTCCGGGAGGAGAAATTGTTCCTAATATGCAACCTGGTACAACATGAGGCCATCACCCCTCATCCTATCAATTACCTGGGAAGAGAGACCAACCCACCTCACCGCAACTTCCCACAGCCCTGGGGCAGCACGGCCACCCTCGTACACAACACCACTGCCAGAGCTCCCTGCCCCGCTCCCAGCAGCGGGGGTTCCATGCAACACTGAGCCCAGGCTGCCCTCGTCACAAGAGGAGTGATGCTGTGCTGTACAGTTGGTAGAAGAGACAAAAGCGTGAGGGTAATTAGCACGAGAGGATAGCGAGGAGAGCAAGCAAATTGGGGCAACTGGCAACAGGATTGGAAATGGAAAAAAAATGATGTTAATAAGTAAAAATAAATTCACTTTAGAGGCAAAAAGTTAAAGCACTGTGGATTGACAGTATTCTAAACGAATAAAAGTGGAAAGCAAAGCACGCTGTCGGACTGTCCTGCAGCATGCACAAAAGCAGAGGCTAAAAACAGCGTGTTTTTCTAATTAATTTAATAGGTTTAGAAAAGGTATTAATCTTCGCACCCTAGGATTCATGCCAGCCTCTAACCATCTGAGAGCAAAAGATGCACATCTGAGGAAGAGATCGTGCCGCACCAGCGCTGCCCCCGGACCAAGAGCAGCCGGCTCCAGGCCAAGCGCGTGCCCTGCCGAGTGCGGAGCCCAGCAACCCTGGGGACGAGGCCAGCAGGCACCGCCTTCTCCCGCGGCACAGGCAGGTCCTCACTGAGACTCTGTGCATTTGCTGCAAGCAGGAGCAGCCCTGGCACCGCAAGGCAGCCTGCTGTGCCTCAGCAGGAAGGCACGTTATTTGTGATCCCAGGGCTCTGCCTCGGGAGGGTTGTTGCAGCGGGGTCCCAGCCAAGGGCTGCTTCTGCTCTGCTGCTCGTGCTGCTGGATCTTCATGACGCCCCACAGAGCAGTGCACTCGCGATGGCACCGTCCCTGAGCTCCTGGCGTGGGCGCTTAATCCTCGGTGCAGCAGCACAGGGAAAGTACCCAGGTATTTCAAACGAACCTGCAAAGTATTTTTACCTAACCCGGATGCCTTTCATTTTGCCATCCACTATTTGTGAATGCCTTGTACCATCTGTGCGCTTCTACCTGCTTCCATCATCCTTCATGGCTTACAGGCATTGTTTACTTGGCACGTGCCCTCTGCAGCTTGCACACACACAAAACAAAAACCAACCGAACAGCCTGCTCTGACAGCAAGCAGAATTTGATTCTATCTGTCCATTTTATTTTTTTCTTTTGTTTTGTGATATATTCACAGCAGTGATATGTTTGGCTTCCTTGTATGAATGGTTGCTTTCATTAAAAACATTAATTATTTCAACTTTAACGCCTACTGAGGCTTTCGAAGTCTAAAATGCCGCGAGCTATGAGGGACAAAAAATAAGGATACTGTTAAAAACATATATTATAAACGGTTCCTTAAACCCTGGTGTGGGATCCTTTTATCATCCCCTGTGCCGAGGTTAGCAGGTTATTAACCTGCACCCCGGGGGAGATGGGATGCACATCAATTATATCAATTGAATAGACAAATGAAAATCAAATTAAAAATTTAACACACGCAACCATAATTACAGCACAGCGCTTCCAACAGGAATTCCATCTGAGGAATGAAATGTAGAAATGCTTTCTCAATTTTAGCTGAAATCCACAGCAACAGGAGAAAGCACCCAGAGGTTGGTGACCTGATGGCACAGGAGGTTTCGGGGCGGCCGTTCCCAGCGGTGTGACACTGTGCCACAGCCTGCCAGCAGCCCTGCACCTCCGAGCGGCGCATTCCCAGCACAGAACCAAGGCTCCCCTGCTCCCCTTGCTGTGCAGAGCTCACAGTGAGAGCCGCAACTGGGTTTGCACTGACTTGCAGAACATTAAGAGTTGCAAAGCCCTAAGCACCTGCCCTATTGCTGCCTGCAACATCCGTGAGGGAGAGCAGCATCTCCTGAATTTCATCTGCCACACAGCAAGTCTCAAGATCACCATTACAACCTGAGACAAGGAAACCTACGCTTAGATTTTAAACTGTACAGTTCTGCTCCTCCGGGTGCCATACCCTGCGTCACCTCTGTGTCTAAGGGAAAAGAGCATTCAGAGGCATCCTTTGGAAGAAGTCTTTCCTATGTCTGCCCCCCCCCAAGAATTTCTGATTGCAATTTTAGACTGACACAAAAATATTTAGCTCATTTAAGTAATTAAGTGTGTTTATATTGTGTAATTACATGTATAAAAACAGTTGCAACCTGCCTTCCATGCTATTTGCACACCACAGCAGTGTTCCCAGTGAGGTTCCCCAGTGACTGCTAGGCTGGGTCCTCCCCTGCCACCACAATGGGAGTCGGGCGTGAGAGGTGTGATGGGCACAGACAGGAGACTTCAGTGCCTGCAGGAAAGGGCAGGGAGCAGAGAGCAGGCTGCAAAGAGCAAGGAGAGGACAGCCAGGACCTTAAGAGAGCTGCAGCGATGCAAACAGGTTTGTTCCCTGTTTGCCTGAATAAAAGAATGCAAGAACAGCCCTTTCCCAAAAGGCTTGTGTCCTGAGACTAACAGCAGGCAGCTACAGACAGTTGTAACATCTGTCTTTGAACAAGTGATCCATTTTGAGGTTGCAGAAACCAAAACCTCACCAGAAGCTGCACCAACGAGCACCTCTAGGACTCCCACAGAGGCTCAAGGAGTACAATAGAAATCGTGTGGCTCCTGCAGATGCTAATCAGGGCTTTGCCTGACAGGGCAGAACCTCAGCTATGCCTGAGCAGCTCACTGCTCAGCAACACAGCAAGCAAGGCCAAGCATGAGATAGCAAGTCGGGAAGCAACCATGGCACAGGGACAGAAAGGGATTTGGACGGATCTCCTCATTGCCAACAAACATCATGTATGATGTTCTTTTCTTGCATTTGGTTTCAACACTTGTGAGACCAAACACTTGTCCCTTTCACATTTCCACATATCATCATCCACCCGAGCACCACGCAGTTGCTGTTGATGACAGAAAGTATCAGCGTGACCCAAGGGAAAACGTGTGTTTTTAGCACAAAAAAATAGAGCGAGAGAAAAACACGACAGAACCAAAGCCTCCCCTTCCCTGCACAGACATGGCAAAGCCTCTGCCAGCAACGTTCCGTGGTCTGGCAGCAGCAGGACCCACAGCAGTGCCAGCCCACAGGCACGGTGCTGCCTGCACAGCTCAGCACAGGGCCAGCTGCATGGCAATGGCTCCAGTCATCTTAAAGCAAAGTTTGGGAGGAAGCAGAAGGCTCCGCTGCTCCCTGCGGGTTTGCCTGCACCTTTAGCACTTCATCATTTGGAAGCAGAGGACAATTACTCAGAAACAAACACGGAAGGAAAGCAGCACAGCGACAGAGCTGTGCCATTTTAATGCTATTTCTGTCTATATAAAATCTTCTGTAATTTGTTTACGACTCCCAGATTCAACAATAGTGTGCAAATGCAAACCCATTTATGTTAATGTCCCCTCTCTCTCAGATCAGATTCTGAATAAAAATTAGGTAAATACTCTGTTTGAAAATATACAAGATGAGAACTAGTTGGGAGGGAGCAAGAGAACCTCCAAATGCACCATCCTATCAACCACATTATTTTTTTTTTTACTTAATAACTTAAGTGTACTGTTAGTGAAATTACAACCTGCTTGTGACACAATAAATTTACAACAAAATTCATTCCATAAATTATTCAATTTGCTGACTGCAACTACACTGAGAAATATCACCACGAGCAGATGATTAGCATGTGAAAGGAAAGCCATCTCTAGACTGAAACAATCACTGTCACACCTCCATTTGAAGATGCCTGGTGGAGTTTTGTAAAATTGCCATTAAGAATACACATTTAAGGCTTTGTAGTTTCTATAAAAGTGTTAAGTATTTGATTTACATTAGATTCATTTGTTCTTTCTTCAACTGTCTCTTTTTCCTACAAACTATAAACGTTTCAATAAATGCTGGCTCAATCAAGTGTGCATTAAAACAAAAGACTTTAAGCTCAATAAAAGTGATGAATCAGAACTAGAAGTGAACCTTCCCCTCCTGCCCTCCCCTTGCACACAGTTGCTGCAGCAGGAGGAACAGACAGATTCATAGCAGAGATGTGCAAACGTGGCATGTCCCACATGGCCATGCACTCATCAAGAGAGAGACCAGGGCCTGAACCATCGGCGTGGAGGCTTGAAGCCCACAGGAAAGAGGAACAGTTTCTCACCTTGATAAAGAGAGAGCTGGTGAGGAACGTTCCCATGCAGCACCATATCTTCAACCAGATAAACAGCAGAGCTCTCAACGGACAGAACTTGGCATCTCACAAGTTAACCTGAGCCCATTTCTTCTGACTATCCACTGAATTAAAGTTTCAGCAACTAGATCAGCAGTCTTCCCAACAACAAACAGGAGGATAACACCACTAAATGCAAACAGAGATGCTGAAGCTCTGAGAGCATGCACTGCAAGCATGAGCAAAACCAATGGAAATGCTTTCCCAGGCTACTAAGATAGTTTTCCCAGCATTTGTAGCTCTTTCCGAGCCAAACAACCACTAGCAAGTAACCAGGTTTTAAATATCAGTAGGTGAACCAGCCACAGCTATATATCCCATACACCATTACAGCATAACACTAACATCAATTCTTCACAGCAACCCTTTAAAAGTATTGCAACATAGTAAGAAAAAGAGTCAATCTTCCCCTACTACTCTCCTTATATGCTAATTGTCTTTCATCCCAAGATGGGGGAGTAACTGCTCTGAAGGCATCCCTTACCTCTCTGCCAAGCAGCCCACGTCACAGCCAGCTGGGAGCTGATGGATGAGTTGTAAGCAGCATGCTCAGGTGATCTGGATGAGTTTATCAAAATGCCTCCATGCTATGCCTCCATCCAGCCCTGTGAAATGTAGACATCTTGTTGTTAGAAGCATGTAAATGGCTCCCAGCATCTTCACCTCCTGCTGGGTTTCCCAGCTAGAAAAATTCAAGTTTATATAAAGAATTTGTTTTCCTGGAAGGGAGGAGGAAGAATTCTTCTTGCATCTAGGCATCAAAAATTAAATTTTTAGACAGTAATTTTTAAAATAAATCCAACAGCAGTTCCCAGGTGAATCAAAACGCACTACCATGACAAAATTTCACTTCTACAGATAGGAGTGTTTAAAAATAATAGCCACAATTTTAAAGCCAAATAGTGACATTAATCACTCCCTCATCAACTGTTCAGTCAGAACTAATGAAAGGAGAAAGAAAAAAAAAAGTGTTCTAGAAGCAGTGACCACAGGGGTAAAAAAAAAGGCTTTTTGTTCCTTTACCCAGAAACTTTATTGGCTCTAGGTAAGACTGCACTTCTCTGTCCATTGACAAATGGCTTTATCTTCTCTTACACTGAGTTCATTATCAGCACTCAGACATGTTCCCTAACTCCTTCTCAAAGTCTCTCCCATCTGAAAGCAGTAACTTACATTATTCATAAGGATAATCGCAAATATGCAGAGAGCTACAGACATGTAATGGAGAGGCTGGCTTGTATCCGATCCAAATTCCATGTGCTTCATGGAGCTTACGACTCTCCCATAAATTCTGCTGCACGGGCATGCCTCCATCCCAGCCACTCCAGTCCCAGAGCAGTGGCAACCTGGGAGAAAGTTGTCATGCTCTCTCTCACATTTTATTTCTTCTGAAAGGTGGAAGCCCAATAGATGTGTTCTGCCACCTTCCCAAGGATTCTCCAGTTGTCCTTGCACGCTGCCTCCTTCCTGTACACAAGGCACAAGGGGCATTTGCACCCCTAAAGGGATTCTGGAAGTTATGTGAAATACAACACTTTTAAGAGCACAAGGAAAGCAAAACCAAGTGACTGTGGTTGGCAGTGGCTCTGTAAAAAGGCCAAGGAAAGTCAGCACCCTGCTTAGCACTGACTACTGGACTGCTTCTCTGCAGTTTCTTCAGGTCCAGCGGTGAAAAGAAACCTCTTCTCATCTGTGCTGCAAGGAGCAGCCGGGCCAGCAGAGCCCCACGCCCATTGCTGCAGGCTCTGATTGCTGGGCAGACCTGGGGGTGAAACCAGCTGAATGCACCTGGAACAGCCAGGGCCCAGGGCAGCGCCAGCAGGGCGGTGTTAAAGGGCAACAGGTAGGAGGGCAGGGACCCTGAAGGTCACGAGCTCTCCCACGGCAGGGGCTGTGCACTCCTGCACGACTGGAAACATCCCATCCTTGGGGATATCATTGTTAAATAACGGTAATAAAGCAACAGATTAAGAAGATAGAGACATTTCTAAATCCCTCAAACTCGAGACCGAAAAACATTCCTTCTATTAAAATTCAAACCCACCCTGAGCAGATTCTTGTCATCAGATGCGTTCTAATAAGGAAGAAAGAGATGACACATTCATAGCCACAGTAACCAGTAATAACTGTGTAACTTCAGCAGAAGACAGAATCATGGAGACATTAATAAGTGATGAGATCACAAAACATCTGGAGAAATGCGAGCTGATATAAAAGTAGCCAGCAGAGTCTTACAAAAGGGTAAATCTCATTTGACAAATCTGCTGGAATTTTTTAAAGAGGTAACACAGACTTCAGACAGGAAGAAAACATTGGACATAATCTATTTGGATTGTAAAAGGCTATTTGACACATTGCAGCCCACAGGCTGGTGAATTAAAGCACCGCCAGTCAAAAAATGCACCAACTCAGAGCGCACAAATAAAATGAAGGCAGTTAACAGCTTGGTAGCATTAGCAGTGAAAAACTGGAGGGGGGGGGGGGGGGGGGAAGGGGGCAATTGGGGCATCTTTTGTTCTATGTGTGAGATGAAGAGAAAGACATCACAGCACAACCAACCAACTAGATGGATCACATCACAGCATCATCGTGTGGAGAACACAGAGCAACGTACTGCATAATGGTCGCAATACTCATTTTGATTATACAGTGAGGAGTTTTAATATCAGAATCTTTATGAACAACGATGCCTTTGGAAGAGACAGCAGTAGTAACTGGGGCAGGCTCTATGAATGGCAGCAGTGCATTCCATAGCACACAGAAGAAGAAGAAGAAAAAGAAGAAGCGCACAGGAGAAAAAGACCCATCATAAGGTCTGCCTAGATGCTCTGGTCCCTGCTCCAGGTAACAGCCACAGCTGTGCAACATCAGCAGGTGGGTGACCCATCATCATGGGCAGACCTGAGAGCGGCTGCTGCCCCGCAGGCACGTCTCACGTGGCTGGGTGTGCAGCATGGCCTGGGGCTGGGGGAGCTGCAGGGGAAAGCTAATGCAGAATTCATCCTTGGACATAACACACAAGTCTTGATCCCGTTTTCTGCTTCTCTGCTGCAACACACTGATCTGATTATTCTTTGGGACAAAACATGGAAAAAAGACAAGTTCTTCCTATATAAAAATAAATTATTCAATGTAGATGTCCAAGCAAATATATGCATATAGAACAATCATTCTGCAAAGCATTTTGTCATCTCTAGAGATAAGGAACAAGTATGAAATCAAGCCTCTATTTCCCACACTAATCCATGTTAATATTGCCATTAATAGCACTGATCTCAGCTCAGCTGCCCTCATGGGCTGGGATCTGGTGGCTGGCCCTGCCAGGAGGATGCTGTGAGGGCATCCTGTGAAGGTGCTGTCAGAGCATTCTGGGACAAGATTCTCCTGAGATGAGACTTTAGGTGCAGCCATAGTGCAGGGGAGCAGAGGAACTGCATAAATAAAGAAATAAATGTACCAAGGCTTGTTTTCAAACACAGCCCACAGTGCAGAAGGCTGCTGAGGCAGCAGCGCAGGCTTGAATTTCAATTTTTATTTATTATTTTGTTGTGCTCCCTGTATTTTTCTTACAGCACAGAGAAGGAAAAAAGCAATTTTCAAAAGTTTATAACTCAGCTCCACTGCAATGAAATGTCATTTGGGAGACCAAAAACTGGGGAAAGAAGGACATTTATGGCAAACCTCCTTCGCTGGTGCTTTTTCTTCTCTTTACAAATGCCTGTAGAAAACACCAAGAGAATTAATGCTTACAGAAAAAAAAAAGTCACCAGAATGCCACAGTGGAATATGTTAAGAAATCTCAATACTGTACACATCTCTCTATTTAAGTGCACAAAGATGGAGGTTAACATACAGATGCTTGTTCCTGGGATGGAAGGAGGTGCAGGGTTTGGGGCCAGGGCACGAGGCAGTCCCAGCCCTCATTGCAGCATAGCATTGCACTGCAGCAGGCTCCATGCTGGTTGGCAGCATCCCAGCCACATGCACTGGTGGCAGCAAGAAAGAGAGGAACCACTGAGGTAAGCAGAAATTGTAATCTAACAGCCATGAGCAAAGCCATCCCAACTCTGCGCTGTTGAAATAAATGCTGAGCTGCCAGCAAAGCACAGAGTGGGATGCACGAGTCACTGCCCTGACCACGACAGCCATGACAGCGAGTTTGCACAGATAAAAGAGCCGAGAAGCAGCACCTGCACCTTGGCTCAGCACATTTGGGTCACACTGGATCTCAAACACTGCTCAGAAGCACTGAGCTCCAGGGCACTCAGAGCAAGGCAGAGTTGTACCCGCACACATTTGGACATCGTGTCGTTGTTCCTAGCAGTGAGCCCAGAAGCCCCTGTCCTGTCACTGAGCAGCAACCCCCTAAAAGAGGAAAATCTGCAGCAGCCGGACCCACGAACGGCCACACTGGCTCCAGCCCTGTTCCCACCCTCACACCCATCCCAACCCATCCGCATCCCCAGCTACGTCCAAAACCATCCAGCACCATCCCCACACCACAGCTGCTGCACAGCAGTCACCAGTGCTGCGCAAGAATGGCCCAGAGGCACCATCAAGCATGGTGTGAAGCAGGAAGCAAGACACCAAAACAAGGATGTGCATGGTGACACATGAAGCAGGAGGTGCATGTGGAGTGTGGCATCCTTCCCAGCCACAATAGGGTCTTAAAATAACTCCTACTTTCTCTGCTTTCTCTGTAAAAAGCAGTCAGTGAAAAGTTACACTAATTTAAACAAAATTAATAAAGAAATGTTCTGCTTCTTTTTATCATCTTTCTACCACTCATCATTTATCATGCAAATTAAATTGCAGTAATAGGAAACGTAAAGAAAACAAACTCCGTAGTATATTGAAACCTCTATCCAGCAAGAGATAAGGGTGAATATTAGAAGGAAAGGTGCAGAAAATTAGCTGTCCATACAATAACTGGGAGGGAAACTGTTTTATTTAGCCTGGAGGGATTTTTGTTGCCAACTGACTAAATTAAAATCCAGTCTATTATACCCAGTATCATACCAGAAAACGCCTTTTCCTTGCACTTTTAGATAAATTTTCATTGATCTCATTTTATGCATGATTACATTTTTAATGAGATGTACAATATTTCCAAGCTCATTCTCAATGCCTTCCCTCTCTGCTGCCTGTGTTCCCTGTGCCCCCTCCCACCGTGCACGCTCCCTGCCTGTTGGATTAACACTTCTGATAAATTGCTAGACCAGAGAGGAGCATTACCGAGATGAAATAAATTACTTCCATCTTTTGCAGCTCCAAAGTCGTAAAGTAACCTTAAAAATGCCCGATGTCTAATTATGCCACCTTGCAATTCCTTCCCAAAGCAATCATTTTATCTCGTGTAATGATTTTATTTGTTATCGGTAACCCCGCGCTGCACACACTGCTGCTAGGAGTCACCTTCCTCGCAGCAGCACCGACCACAGCAACCAGTGCTCTCCTGGAACCTGAAGCTCTGCGGCAAATAAAGGAGTTTTTAAAGGCAAAGAACAAAGCAGGTGACCAGCCATGAGCTGGCCTGCTGCCAGAGCACGGGGATCTTGACTTTAAAATATTAGGCAATAATTGATTTTCAGCGTTGAAAACTTGGCTCATTCCCAGAAGTCTTAAACTTTATTTTCTTCCTTTGACTATTTTTGGTAAAGTCATTCCCTTTAAAACAAAGGGGGAAATTGCAGGAGCAAAACACATGAAAACGCTCTGCTTCCAGCCCACCATTAACTCCTGGCATTTTATTTCCTATCTGGTTTGAGGGTAAATTTGCCGTGGATGGGATTATTTGTCCAGCGGCAGGCAGAGGTCAGAAGCCCTGTACGGCCACAGGCGATGCCTGAGAACACAGCAAGAAGAGAAGAGAAGGGTGGATAGCAGGGAAAACTTCTCTGAAAGAACAGTCAGGGAGGAGCTCAGGTTGTGCAGGGAGCGATGGGGTCACCCCCAGGGGTGTCCCAGATCCGTGCAGATGTCCTGTGAGGGACGTGGCTGAGGGCATGGTGGGGTGGGGTGGATCTGATAACCACAGAGGTCTTTTCCAGTCTTTCTTTTCCAACCTTAATGTTTCTGGGATCCTATGAGAGGAAGGGACAATGGAGCAGCTTCAGCTCAAAGTGAAGCGTCAAGAGGGCATTAGGGGCTCAGACCTGGGCTGGCGGATGTGAGGATGAGTAAAACATCCTGCAAACAATCCGAGGAAAGAAACTTCGATGTAAATCCACATTTCATGAAGAATTTACCATTATCCAGCACTGCTTTAAGGATTATTTCTATCAGAAGGCTCCCGGCACACTGACAAGATGGGCAAAGCAAATCCTGCCAGATGTGTAAGGCCATGAAGAAAAATGCTTTCCTGCCCTCCCAAACAGATGAATGGGACCATTGCATTACCCATGAAAAATTATTGCTACCAAACCAGCATCATTATAGGCATCAGAAAATGGGAGACTGAAATAAGAGCCAGAGTGTGAGAATAAAGGAAAACGTTCTAGAAAGGCTTGGAGAGGAAATATGCATCAGAGGGCAACATCTGACTGTCCAGATGTACCCCAGTTTCTATTAAGCTGTAGCTGTGAAGGACAGACAAGGTGTTTTCAGGCGTAAGTGACAGGTCTTTGTGATGGGCTGAAATTCAAAAACTGTAGAACTTCCACAGCTGAACTCTACCAGGGAACCATTATAACAAAGCACTGCAGCTCAGCTGCTGCAACACACAAGCATGAAGAGATACACACAGCCACGCACTGGGATGTTCTGTAGATGAAGCAGATGGTGGACGAGGGTCAGACTGACAAAGAACCATCCCGTGCAGCCTGAACGGGCTGCACATCCATGGGTAACTCTTAGAGATGTGCTTCTTATAGGCAAGGCAGCTCAAACCCATCACAAAGCAGTAAGGGCAGACCAACAGAGCTAACATTTTAAATACAAAAATCTGCACATTCATGTGGCTTCCACATGTGCCCAACATGTCCATACACTACTTACACTCGTTCTGGCTGCCTGCATTTCATACGTGGCTTTTTAAGCAAAATATTGTAAAACCTAAACACAATTTCTCCACGTTAGCTGCTACATGTGGTCCTGTATGAAATTTAAATCACTGAACCGCCACTGCTTCTTCAAAACATTGAGGTTTGTGACAAGATTCTGTATGGGAGTAACGTGCCATTGAGTTAAATGGCAGGCCCATTGGTCCCAGGACGCCTCCGGCAGAGGCCAGCAGCGGTGCCCAGGGACGTGAGCCCTGTGCCAGTGTCCAGGTGGGACCCTGCACAAGGAGCACTGCAAGGTGGGCTCTACCCAGAAACGCATCTCTGGACACTGCTGCTCGCAGCAAACGTCCAGGTGCGATCCACAGCAGTGCCTGCTGGGACCAGGGCTGTTTTCAAAATAATCCCAGACATTTGGCAGGAAAACTAGCAGAACTGCTGGTGGACTGCGTGTACCTTTTAACACACGAAAGCAATTACTGCCTCCATTTAAATGGGTCTCCAAATGGACCCCGTCCATCGGCAGGGAAGTCGGAGGGCTTGAGGAAGTTTATGTGTAGGGATGCAAATGTCGGGGCGGGTTGGGGCGAGCACAGTGCTGCACAGCCATCCCAGCTTGCGTCTCCTTTGACACAGGCACGACCAATCCCACACCCTATTATTGCTGCTACTGCTTTATTAAAATGCATAAAGCAGCCAGAAGCAAAGACACCAATAAATTCTTCTGTAAAAGCAGAAATGTTTTTTTCAAATGGCTCCCTTAACACTAATAATCACAGCTCTCTTATGTGTACTTGACTCTGGTTAACCTTTTTCTGGCACTTTTTAACTTCTCCGAGTCAGGTACTAATATGGAACTAATGTGGGGTTTATTTTCCCTATAGGAATAGCAGAAAGAGCACTGCACATTATCGTAATCACGCAAGCTCCTTCCAGAAACTGCAGGACTTTAGATCAAAGCATCTGCATTATGGCACAGGAAAAGAATTTAATAACAATTGTGGGACTAAGCATTTTTTTAATGTTAAGGGGTTTTTATTGAATATTAATCCTATAAAATGCTCCTGAAAGTTGGCAGAAGGAAAACTGATGTCCCAAATAGTTCCCGTGACTGTCCCCATTGTGGGGATGCAATTGCAGTGTAATCAAAATTCATCATGCCATTAGCAGAAGGACAACAGGAAAGGAGACACTTTCTCCCATATCATGCTGCTTGAAACAATACGAACTGCGAAAACAGAATGGAGCACGTAATTGTCAGCCCTAGCTGAGCACTTACAGTTTGCATGGCTTTTTAGTTCATAGCTTGCAATTTCTTTCAGTACAAGTCATACTCAATATCTGCACTTTCAATTGTACCTTCTATTAACGATTTTCACGGTGAGGATATCAAAGGGTGAGAACATCTCAGCAAAATACAGCATGTTACCAGACCATATATTCTACTGTCACCTCATCTGGCTTTAAAACTCCCAAGCAATTGAGTTTTCTCCCACATCTCTGAGGGATACTTGCATAGTCACATGGAATTCACGACTGGTTGCTTACTTCCCTATTATTACATACAAATTTCTTTTGTTAAATTCAGCCCTCACCTCTGGATTACGAGATGGGCATCCTGCAAGACAACACCACTCCAACTCCTGGCACTGATGTGTCCACTCAGCCCCTGCGTGGCCAAGCTGCAAGAATTTAACTTTCATACCCTCTCTTAAGTCACCTTCTCAGGTCCCCACTCCTCACTGCTGCTCACAGAAAAGCACTGAGTTGGTGCTGCAGCACAGCACAACCCCAGCTGCAGCCCAGGACAGGGACACCATTGTTTTCCTGCTCCTTAGTGTGACTGTAGCTGCACTGCTCATTTTTCTTGTAGGACACCTTAAACTTGTACCAAACTTGCTGTCTGTTGTTACCCTGCAATGTCTGTCAGCACTGCTGCAGCTCAAGCCCCTTCCTATTGAATGTACCTATGATGGATTATTACTTTCATACACAGGCAGCAATACCATCTGTATTTTTCAAGGCTGAATTTCATTTTTCTCCTTCCCACTTTTATGAACAATTTGACATCATACCTGTATGAACCTCCTCCTCGCTACTCCTCACTCTGCAAGATCAGTCCAACGACGTTTACTTCATCACTCGAGCTATTAAAATATATTAAAGAAAATGCATAGAATTAATGTAGGATCAGTACATGGCTGTACACCAAATCTCATTATAAAAATAAATATTTTGCCTTTACTGTTCTCAGTCTTCATCATTTATTGAGTCTTCCACCATGGTGCACAGAACTTCCACCTATACCCCCAGAACCAGCGCTCACCAGCACTCAGAGAGGAACCCTTCCTTCTAGGTTGGGCAACTGGGGAAGTGTCTGCAGACAGGGAAGGTTCATGCAGGAAATATTACTTTTCCTCCCCTGCCAGACCTGTTGCAAGCATTTAACAATTTCTGTATCAGTACCACCACAAACACTGGGATAGGACTCGGATCAGGTCCAAGCTCCTTACCACAAGACCCACATCTACAGGGCAACCTTGAGCCCCTGCACATCACTTTCGTAGCACCAACATTTTTTTCCTACTGAAGAGCACTCAGGAAACTTCAAGACTGCTGGTGGGAAGCTGGCCGTGTAACAGCCCTCTACTCAAGGCCAAGGCAGCCAGTTTTCAGGAGATGAACACACAGCAGTCTCAGCCTTTCCTGCAGGTTTTGTGTGGCTCAGAAGGAAGTGAATGCATTTAACCCTCAGTACCAGGCTGCAATATTTCTTTATTACCTTATCCATAAATCTCCTGAGCATTTCTCTTTTAAACATTCAAAGAGAAAACTTCAGAGCAACCTAAAGGTAGGCATCTTATTGTAGTACGAGAACAAATAAAACAAAAGATTACCATCCTGACAATCTGTTAAAAAAATCAAACCAAAAATGCAAGGAGAAGTCTTGCCTGCATACCTGTTTTAATGTAGCATGCAGGCCATCCGACATATATAAACAACAAAACCTCAAACACTGTCGACATCTGAGCATTTTAAAGTTGCTGCAAGGCAATTTTTTTGCAAGAAGTCATATGATTATTTGTTCTTGAGACTCTGAATCAACTTCAATCAACTGATAATTCAATCTCTATTTCCAGCGAGCAAATCTCACACTTTCAGTTTTAATGCTAATGAGTGCTGCTAGTGAGATGCTGTCCAGCTGGCCTGAAAGAGGCTGGAGTGGAATCCCTCGCAGAAGTGGAGGAAGATGCTCACATCCAGGTAGCCAAACATAGGATAGGACAGAAGAGTTGGGCACATCAGCACCAAAAGGAATTCCAAGGACTGAACAGATTACTGTTAGAGTGAGATGGCCGTGTTACAAATAAGGGTACAAACAGAACAGAAGCACTCCACGAACACTGTTAGGAAACACCCAGACAGCACTCCCACATGGGATGAAGGCAGCGAACCAGCCTGGTGTACTTCTAGCCTAGGGGAGCATCAAGCTAAAACCTGACAGCCCCTGGACGCCTCGTGCTGCCACATGGCAAAAGAGTTGCCAGGAGAGATCTCTGATCTGCCAACGTGAACTGAAAAAGTTAACAAGGGTCATTGCAGAACAGTGGAAGAATGTGAGATTATACCCATGCTCACAGAGAGCAGGTGAGACGACTTGTAACGACAGATTACTTAACCTGACATCAATCCTCACCAGAAAGTAATGAAAGTTAATAGAGAGTTTGATCAATAAAATATTAGAAGATGGGAATAAAATTAACTCAAGTCACAAATGTTTTGTACAGAGTCTTGTCGAACAAACATTGATTTTTAGCTTTTGCAGCACTGTCAGAATCTGAGCCAGAGGCTCGGGTGCGGGTGGCTGCCCCAGGGCAGTGGGTGGGGGCACCGAGCCCCCCGAGCAGCTGGTCCCAAGCAGAGCCTCGCTGCTGGACAGAGGTGAGAAGGCAACAAGCCCTGCCTTCCATAGGTAGATCTTGGAGAATTGGGTCACACCATCAATAGAAACACACACAAGACCCATTATAACACACAGGGCATGGGCCTGCTGTACCCTATCAGCTCTCCCTGCCCGACCAGGTGGGCACAACCACCATGGGCTGCAGCACCTCGACACACAGACAAAACCATAAACAAAACAGAAGTTTGGCCTCCATCTCCCAAAAGCAGGAGATCATCTGTAAGTCTTAGAAGGTGCTTCAATCCTGTACTGCGGCCTGGCTCCAAGCTGTGCAGAAGCAAAAAATAATGGCTTTTATTAGAGGGGATTGAGGCCAGCCTTCGGCAAGCCTTAGCAGGAGCTTCTGAGGAACAGAACCCTGTGCTGGGCAGGGGGACTAGAGCTGGCGAATACAGAGTTCAGTGCCCAGCTGCTCAGGTACACGTAACTTCAGGCTAATTTTTATCAGTTAAATAAATTCTCCACAAGCAGATTTTCAACACGTGCAACTGACTCAAAGTTGTAATTAGAAGCAGAGAATGATGAAGCTGGTTACTGAAAAGAAAGCCAGGGCCAGTCCAGGGACCTTCTGGTCACACTCTGTAACCATCATGGGGAGGCCTGGCCAGGCACATGGACCCCCAGCAGCCCACCAAGGGATGCAGCCATGTCCTGAGAGGGCCCCGGTACCCCCATGGCAAGCAAGTGGTGACACCTGGGTGCAGCCAGGTCCCCACAGGCACCACAGCCTGCTGCAGCACTCCCACCCACAGCCGTGTCCAAAAGCACAAGGAAACAGGATCCGGCAGCTGCAGGAGTCAACTTCAAAGACAATAAAAGACATAACATTTTATTTGTCTACTGCTTTTTAACTTCTCGGGTCCGCTCAGGTAAGACTTTCAAATTTTTAATTAAAAATGAAAGCACAGCAGCTTCTGCAGTCATTTCTCTTTGAAGTTGGACATTTAAGCACAATATCTGTTACCTGTAGACTTTGCTACAGTTGTGAGTTTTGGAAAACTCTGCCCAACACGTCTGCCCAACGTCTCAGCAGATCTGGATGTGTATTTGGTTTAAATCTAGTTTCATTTTAGCTAAAATTATTCACACGTATTCTTCCAGCAATTTAAAAACCATCCTGAACTCCACAATGAATTCTTTTCGCATTTGACATTTCAGCACGACGGATGTTTTTCCTATCACTGTGACAATGGTCTCCTTCCAGCTCAGTCACGGCCACTGCAGCTCAGTGCCTCCCCCTCGCACACTGCTGCCCAGATGTGGGGCACAGCTGCCCAGATGTGCACTGGGGGAGGAGGGCAGACAGCCCCCCACACACATCTCTAATGGCCGTGTTCCTTCTTAACCACGAAAGAGTACTTACACCCTGTGTCATTCAGCGTAATGGGATCCATCATCAACATACTATTTCTGCTGGAGGACTGCTATAATTCATAGCTGAAAGAGCTGGAACTTTTGAAGCCTCTCCTTAATTTTCAACAAAAGGCATTTGGTTCCAGGGAGACAGACAGGGCTCTTAAGAGCTGTTACCACCTCCGGTAATTACAAAAGGACAGAAGGGGGAAACGAGAGAGAGGGATATGAACAAACTGGGTGTTTGTGCGGCGCGCAAAGCAGCTCCTCAGGTGCCGGCATGGGGAGCTCAGCCGTAACCACTTCCAGTTGGAAAGAAAATTGAAGGAAGACGGAAGCGAGGAAAGGAGAAAATGCAATTAGAAACAGGAAAGAAGTCCACAGTAATGTGTTGACTGGAACACTGCAAAATACAGGAGAAGAAAAAATAAAGATAGAAAATGTGGCCTCTTGTGAAAACAGCCCCAATTTGAACGAGTCAAACTCTTAAGCAAGCTTGGGAGCAGCTGACACGCTGGAAGCAGGAGCTTGGTCCTGCTCCTGGGAAGTGGATAAATGGCAGCCAATCTGCATTTCCTTACGATCCTTCACTTGGTGTGCTTTAAGTATTACTGGAAAAACAAAAATACTTAAAACAAAAGAAATGGGCTGAGCAGAGCCCTAAGAAATTAAATTATTCCAGCAGCAATTATTAGTTCTTAGTTATGGTTACCCTGAGTAATGTAGTAAACACGTGGACCATACACACAGACTAGGAGCAGGCAAAAGCATTTTGCCTCGGAGAGAAAATTTAAGCTACGATTTGATGATGACAACTGAGCACCAAGGTGAGAACTGAGCAACCCACAATTAAACACGGCCCCAGCACAAGGCCAGGGGATCAGCAAGGCACAGCTGCCTTCAACCTCCAGCACCCTGCCCCTAACCCTGAGCTGGGCAGGACAAAACACGACGACCGGCCTGTGTGCCCACACAGCAAGCTACCCCAGGCTGCCTGGTGCCAGCAGTGCTGTGGGAGCAGCAGAGCAGCCTCTGCTCAGAGCCCCGCAGGGCCGTGCAGCACACAAGGGGTGCTGCAGTAACACAGCACAGGGCTCCGTCCTCTTTATTTTTTAATAGAAGCCTTCACGATATGGAACTAATTATCGCCATCTGCCGTCCCATACTTATATTTCCTCCCTCACAGCTCATTCTTCAAAAACTCAGTAGCTTCCTCCCTTTACATTTGTAAATGCTGTTGACTATGGATAAAATCCATGTTTACTTTGTATTCAGGGCCCATAGGAAAGCTTGTTTTAATCATCAGCAGATGTTACATTCTGCTCTGCTGTGCTTGGCACACAACTTCAGAGAGAAATAAGAAAAAAATCTTTATTTTAAATTTAAATTGTAGATTGTTACAGACGAAATAAAATGCCAAATTGTTATTGGAAACAATATGGCCACTGTAATAACTATAACTGACATTTACTTTTTACAATTATAATTTTTTTTCTGGTGCCGTTTAGCACAAGATGGTTTCCACATTTTGAGAAGGACTTTTTCCCCCTTTCCTCTGAAATGATTTGCAATCAAGCCACAGACATTTGTAATTTATTTTTATTTAATACTTTCCTACGAGTTTATGAAATACCAGGATTATTATGCTATATACAGTAGATAGTTTTTGAATACATACCCTCCCTCCGGACTCATATTTCCATACACATTATCCCTCTGAACTCATTTATAAACACCCATGATTCCTGCAGAGCCCGCTATAAACATGCAATATCTCTGCAGGCTGTTCCAGCCCCGCGGCCCTTTCATCTCCAGCTTTCCTCCGCTTCT